ACGCACACGCACACGCACACGCACACGCACACGCACACGCACACGCACACGCACACGCACACGCACACACACACACACACACACACACACACACACACAAACTCTCTCTCTCTCTCACACTCTCCAATTTCTCCTTTGCTCGTGTGTCTGCACGCATGTGCGTAGGTAGGTACGACTGCATTGTTAGGGTTGGTTAACAACGTGCAGTGATGTAACGCACAGGCAATCTGCTCTGGTAACTCTGCCCTGCTCTGCTCGTTCACACGTGTCGTCACGTATCCACATTTTATCTTCACAGATGTGACGTAGATCCCAACGCAGCAATGACCGCAGGAGACGACACCGCCTTGTTCTCGGTGTTCTCACCCGGCACGTGAGGAGAGTCTCTCACGCAACATCAGTTTCCTTTCACGAGGAGTTTGTAAATAAATAAGCTCGAGGTCACGTAGCAGGCAAGCTCAATGTCAGGCCGTGAGCAAGCCCAAGGTCACGCCGAGGGCAAGCTTAATGTCACGCCGCGGGCACGCTCAAGGTCAGGCCGTGGGCAAGCTCAATGTAACGCCATGGACAAGCTCAAGGTCAGGCCGTGGGCAAGCTCAAGGTCAGGCCGTGGGCAAGCTCAAGGTCGCCCCGTGGAAAAGATGGAGCGGCGCTGAGCCGTGGTAAATGCATCTGGGCTCTTAGCTCTGTTAGGATATGATATCCCTCAGCGCTGGGAAACCCACCGCCATGTGCTAAGACAGCAATGCCTCACTGTCGAGGCAACGTTGACGCAGTGTAGAGACAACCTGTCTCAGTGTTGACACATTTCAATGTTGAGACAATATGTCTGGCATCAATGTTTGCTCAATGTTGAGACAGGCTAGACCAGAATTCTCTAGGTGCTTTGAAATAAGATAAGAAAAATTTTAACGAAGTCTGTATGCACTCAATAACACTAGCACGAGCTGTTCTATTGTCACATTATTGAGCAGTTTATTTAGTCACATAAACTTGCAAGACACACTTGTCATGTCAAATGAGATAGACTAGATATGTATTACAATTTATTTTATACTTAACACACTCACAAATTTAATATATCACATATATGTACTAGAATACTGATGTTATAGTGCGTGCAACGTTTGGCTACGCACGTTTCGGATTACTAAGTGGCTGTCAACTAACAATACTCTTAACACAATACTTGAGGAAAATAGGAACCAACCCTGACTCCTGCCCGTAATTGCTGAGGTTGCACATATACATGACCACGGGGCAGGCACACGGCGTCAGCCCCTCGTTCTCTCACTGTGTGGTGCTATGATCAGACGAGCTAATGTTGTGATGGTAAGATTGCACACGTGTTATCATGTAGCTACTACTAGCTGCTGGTACCTGTATGTTTCACAGAAAACTACTGGACGGAAATAGATTGCCTAACCTACTACCATAAATTTACGTGTATATATATATATATATATATATATATATATATATATATATATATATATATATATATATATATATATATATATATATATATATATATATATATATATATATGTGCACATATATACAGACTAACAATACATTAGAGAAGAGAATTAATATCTTGTGCACATATACTGCTAATTAGTTATTTACTGAAGAAACAGAAACGCAACTAGAATGCATACAGTTTAAAATAAAATCTCGTTCACTTGTAGAATGAATTCAGTAGTATTGTTCAAATGTGAATGCATGTGTGTGCAAACCTGCAACATGTAACCTTTAGTCATTATTAATACAATAGCAAAACAAAGCACTACATAGGAATTAAGCATGGCTATATTAGATTGTAATTTTCATGTTTCTCGTGTTTCCATACCTAAACGAACCCATAGCTGTATAAGTGACATACGTAGCTTGTAATGACAACAACTGTTCAGACCTGATGTGTATATTCCTATATACGTAACTATTGGACACGTGCGGGCAAACCTAGCTATAGTAGCAGCCAGTTATATCACGGACACACTGTCATCACGTGAACAGAAAAATATGGTTGTAACGAGGTTTTCCTGCTCAAAAATGTTATACGGGATATTTTTTACGTGACAGCATTCTGTTGCAGCGCAGCTAAGATATTACGGCACATGATATTGCATAAGGGTTTTGAGAAAAGTAAAATAGTAATTAATCCGGTTCATTGCTTGTTTCGTGATTTACGCAGATGATATTTAGGTGGTTACAAAATCAGTCGATATTAAAGATTCGATTCACAAAGAAGCCAATTCTTATTCTGTTCAGTATAACAGCCTACTATCCATAGATACAGTGCGAACAGTGTACTGAGAACACGTTCCATAACAAAACCATGGTTCCATCCTCTTTCACAATTTCAAAACTAATAGTCATAATGGGATACACATGCCTTTATATTCTTTTATATACTCTCTCGTATTTCCCAGTAATAATTTGTGACCAAGTGCAGACATACCTGTTATGACTACACGACATATTACCATGGAAATATGTACGTCACGCTTGATCGCAGAACCATACTGACTATAACATGAACACCCTATAACATCACTGAGCCAACAAGTGATGCAATTTCACATTTCTTGTCACTAGGTGGCGGTAGTAGTAGCATCAACAGGGAATCTGAGGAAATCTAACGCAATACCTCACCTCGGCAAAAAAATTCTCTAGTGCTAGCGGTTCTCAATTATTTCACACGGCGTCGATGGCGTGTCCAGCAGGGGGCGCCACCTTGCAGCTACGTCGTCTTACACGTTGAGGGAGGTGGTGACAACCTTCTCAACGTCAGCAGCATAAGGCCTCAGAGCTGGCCTTACCTCATCGTCCAGAAAGGATACCACCTAGAGAGGAGGAGGAGAGGCAGAATAACACGGGTGTCCAGCAGTTACCATACGTAGCCATACGTCGTCCTTCTAACGGGCAACAAGCTTTGCACAAACGACAACTCGAGCGCCACCTTGTGGCTACTCGCTGTGGAGCGCCACCTATTGGCTACTAGCTGTGGAGCACCACCTATTGGCTACTAGCTGTGGAGCGCCACCTATTGGCTACTAGCTGTGGAGCGCCACCTATTGGCTACTAGCTGTGGAGCGCCACCTATTGGCTACTAGCTGTGGAGCGCCACCTATGGACAATCTGCTTTGTGGCGCCACCTATGACCTACCTGCTGTGGAGCACGTCCGATGAACGACTTTGGATCCATTATCTGCTCCAGCTGCGAGTGAATCGGCTTGAAAAACCCGCTCTCCTGGATTCTCTCAATGAGATCGTTCTCCTCTCCGTCTTCCTTGACAACTGCTGCCGCCTGGTGGGAGAGGACTCTTACCTCCTCGTGCACCTCCTGCGAGAGGAAACGCGCAATCAACATGACATGCTATCGTTATTTCCGCACGCTGCGCAATCACGTAATACATACAACACTGTGATGGTCAAATATCGAGTAGAAAGACAACCGAAGAAAACAATTCTTTGAAAGAATGAATGGTTCGTACAGGACTGAAATTTTTCCCAAGGACTTTTCAAGGACTTTTTATCGGAAATTCAAGGACATTTTATCGGAAATTCAAGGACATTTTATCGGAAATTCCAGGATATCTTATCAGACATTTTATCGGAATTCCTACACAGAACAAAACATACCTGGATTAATCTAATAACCCCATTCTTAATCACTGTATGTCACCTCTAAAACTTACCTGGATCACATTAATATACCCTTCTAAACACTGTCACTTCTACAACATACCTTGATTTACTGACTGATTTTAGTGACTTACTGTAATTTGTGATCATCATTTAACTGTATATCGTGTCTATAGCTTTTTAAGCTCATTTAACGCAATTTTTATTGAGGTTTACACATTATTGATGGTACAAAATTTCTTTTTATTACATGCAATGATTCTTTCTAAAAATTCAAGGAAATTTTTATGAAATTCAAGGACATTTTCATGAAATTCAAGGACTTTTCAAGCACAAAATCAACATTTACTAAATTCAAGTACTTTTCAAGGACTCCCCTCAAATTCAAGGACTTTTCAAGGACTGTACGAACCATGGAATGGTCATCAAGGCATCCTCCTTTTTAAAACACTTTTTATGTGGAACAATAAGGGACACATAAACAACATTAACTGGACAAGAGGGGCAAGGAGTCAGACAAGGTTGGGTAGCTTTGGGGGTTTATTGCAAGAGATAATTTTCAGGGGCACCATAGAGAGTAAGGAGGAAGGAAACCACAGCATTTACTGTCAGTGCCGTGGTGAAATTCAAACCTTCGAATACTAACTAAAAGGAATAGTTTAGATGACACTTTATCAAAATCTAGAATACTGAATATCTTCACATCATCCATGGCTGCAGTACGTTTTACTTGATGCTCTTTTGGATAGATGTCAAGATTATATAGTCCACTAAGTCACCTGTCTGTTTTTCCCAGCCTTCACCATTGCCATGATAACGTTCTCAGTTGCCATGAACGGTAGCTCCTGTCGAATGTGCCTCTCTATCACCTAAGAAGACATTTCCCTTTTCAATTGCATATTTAAATTGTCAGGTTTTTGGCATTTTGGAGAAGAAAACAAAATATAACCGTATCAAAATATGCCTTCGTTGGATCCTACTCTCATGGGCACGTGCCTACGTATGTTTACTAATGCTTTCCACAAAGGCAGGCCTACTTTGGCTAGACAACAATGAAACACTCTGCAGTAATGGCTCCCTAAATTCCCTTGTGGCGAATGAAGGCATGGCTAAACACCGCATTTCAATTATATACTTAATAATGTTGCTAAACGCTTAATCGAAATTCGGTCTTTAATTTTGCGACTTTAATTTCACGCCCCACTGAGCCGGGCGGTGGCGCATATTCTCTGCGGAACCACCGCCGGTAATTGAATGATAATTAGTCGATAACGAGGCATCGAATAGGTAAGCACTTACCCGTGGATAGACGATGAGACCCTCACAGATATTCTGCAGGGTTGTAAGCAGAATGTCGGCTGTGATGAAGGCCTCCGCAATGCTGATGCGTCTGCAAAGACAAGATAACGGTCATTCGACACCGGTTGCCCTTGCCTCGCGCGCACTTAACGCCCAAACGCGTGAATGCGCACAAACCGCATGGGTGGGGTCTCAAGAATGACATCATGAGTGTCTATAGTAAATGACTGCAGTAATTAACAGACGGGTAAATAATGTAGGTAGACAAAATATTCTCGCTTGCAACACAGCACATGCGTAACTTCGCCGCATACACGTAATTAACATGCCACGTTGAACGCATGAACGTCATTTAAAAAAGGTTATCCAAGGCTAAATTCAAATAACTCCATCTCGCTTTAATTGATACCATAATGCGAAACACCCCCAAATCCGGATCCTCCACCCCAAAACAAAAATTTACCACAGCCCAGGATTAATCTAAACAAATCGTTAATCATGCAGAACACAAAACGTATTTGCTACGTAACGTCCTACGTCCTAACGTCGTAAGGTCCCAGAACTCCCCCACCAGAAAATCTTTTGTTTTAAAGACTTCATTCCATGCATTCTGCTGAATTTTTGTGCATGTGAATCACAAACTAATGACCCAACAACTGCTTAGTACAGCCCCGCCTTACTCCGCCCCCACCTATAATGATATGGCCTGCAGGCCACAGATTATTATTTTTTTTAAATTGGGCAGGCCACTTAGCAGGCCAGGCCATCTGGAAAACTCCCGGTGCTCCCGATCGCCAGTCCGGCCCAGCTTGTTACCTGTTGGCGCTGTCGTCCAGGGTGCGCTCCATCCACTGCACGGCGGCAGTGTGCATCGGGTCGCTGAGTAGCGCCATCAGGTGGCGAGCGAGGCCGCAGCAACGCTCGCTGCGCATCGGGTTACGCTTGTAGGGCATCGCGGACGATCCGATCTGATCCTTCTCAAACGGCTCCTCAATCTCCTTCATGCTGGCCAGCAGACGCAGGTCCGTGCACATCTAACAACATGTAACAACATGTAACAACATGTAACAATTTCTAACAACATGCAACAACATGTAACAACATGTAACAACATGTAACAATATCTAACAACACGGGACAGCAAACATGGGGTCAGACAGCAGTCGCTGGATCAGACAGAAAACACAGGATTAGAGAACAAATTTGGAGCGAGACAACAACCACAGGGAGAGACAATAAACATGGGGTGAGACAACAAACAAAAGGCGAGAGAACACACACGGAGTCAGACAGAGAACACAACGTAGGTAAGACACTAAACATGGGGTAATGCTATCCACCGGGCGTGGAGGGAGGTTACCGCAACGTGGCAGCACTAGTGTTAGGACAGTGTTAGGATTAGGGTTAGGGTCAGGGTTAGGGTTAGGCATAACATGGTGTGAGACAACAAACAGAGGGAGAGACAGCACACACGAGGTCAGACAGCAACACGGTGTCAGCCAGTATGTTACTAATCCACATCACACACCAGTAAACATCAAACACTGCACGGTCGGTACCTGTAATTCACGGTACATTACCGGGAGCAATATATTTTTCGTTCGTAATTACGTGCTTATATATTATGATTGATGAGCACCTGATAATACTTATAGGTTAAACTCATGGGAACCCGTTGTCAGAAACATTATAAGCAGTTACAACATCATAAATCTACGATGTTTTTTGAACATGGAGTGTTGTGGGAAGAGTTACGACCTCTTACATAAACCACTCATGTTTCTAACAACAGGCTAACAGCACCTCACTATTAGTGTTAGAAGAATGTGCATCACCAGCGCTGTTCCATATGCACCTTTCCTGCCCTTGATGACAATGTGCACTAGCCTATCCAAAGGCACCTTACCATCATGCAATGAAGGTATTGATAGACTCCTGATAGAATGGTTCAGGTTGCTAAAGGTAGGTGAATTGGTCTCCAGGCCAGTGCATGCAGCTAGCTATCACACCATCTCTAACTACTCTCTCATATACACACGTATAAACCAATTTAATAGCCTCTGGGAAGTCTATCACCTATGTTAATATTTTGGCAGGCACATGTCCCCAGAGATGTACATTGATAACAGTTAGGACGGCTTGGCAATGGTCTGAGGTAATATGTCTGAGAAACATGACCAGGGCGCCATCTCAGTCATATTCTGTAGGCTAGACATAATCAATGTATGTAACCCTATCCATTCTAAACTGAACCGAGGAATAATAAGCATGATTCTATCAAGAGTCCATAATAGAAAATGGTTCTTGGTTCTTTTCTACCACCCAGTACTAGAACTCGAATGTCATTTCCTCTCAATGATTTGAAGGAGATCCTTGAATGAGTTAGAAGCGGTTGCTAGCGTGCGTGCAGTCGCTAAGAAATTGCAATGGTCTCATCAAACATCTTTGACTGAATGACTCTTCCGCCCCCTCTCTCTCTCCCTTCTTCCCATTTATTCTCTCTCTCTCTCTCTCTCTCTCTCTCTCTCTCTCTCTCTCTCTCTCTCTCTCTCTCTCTCTCTTCTTCTCTCTCTGCTCTCTCTCTTCTCTCTCTTTCTCTCTTATCTCTCTCTCTCTCTTGTCTCTCTTCTCTCTCTCTCTCCTCTCTCTCTCTCTCTCTCTCTCTCTCTTCTTCTCTCTCTCTCTCTCTACTGCAGCTAATTACTATATTGTTATCAAATGTAAAATGTTATAAAGTTGGAGCGACTCAGCACTCTGCGTATCATTACGTCTGCGCGCTGTCAGAAGGGCTGTTCCGTAATATAAGCGCTCTCACGCAACCCTCGTAAACTTTCCTAATCAGCCGCGGGGAAAAAGGATCGTTGAAATTGAAATTCTGATAAAAGGACGAATTCTGATATGAGCCAATAAGCGTGCACGC